ATACGTTTTGCTTACTATTGTCTTGATTGTGGTAAATGCTTCTTGTTTATACTTTGATATAAACTGTGAATTTTTTCTCCTAAGCATTCCCAATAAAAGAGATTTCAATTTATCCTGTACAATAATAATAATAATAAAACTTTTTAATGATTTTTTCATATAATTTATTATCAAAGAGTTAAGAGTAAAAAGGTACAAACGGTTTCTACAACTGGCACATCATTATCCAAAGGCCTATTTAAATCTTTAGTGGAAAAATTTTCAAATTCGTTGTTCATCATTTTATCTATTAAACGATTTATTTCGTTTAATTGAGATCCTAAATGACGAAAACTATGAATCCCTTGAAATTCTTCCGTTAACAATTCTTGTGTTGTTGATATTAATTCTAATGCTGCTACATAATCAGGTATGGAAAGTAATGTTTGAATTGTTGGCTGAGTTTGATGCAACGTCTTCATGAGTTTTAACTTAAAAGAAATTCATTGAATTATTTTTTTTCATTCTTCAAAACCTGGTAAAATGGGTTTTTAAAATAAATACCTTTTGCAAAACAAACAGTTGATTTTGTTGATGTCTTTTTAATTGCATGATTTTAAGTGATTTTTTTACCCAACAGTTATCTATAACTGATATTTCTTGCCTAAGGGATTTAACAGCGGTTAATGTTTTTGTAAGTTGTTCCATTAAAGAATCGTGAGAAGTCATAGCTTGAAAAAAGGCATCAGATTTTTGAGCAACCTGTTCTGCAATTAAAACCTCAACTTGATCCAATTCATGTGTCAGCTGGAAAAGTTTTATTTATAATTATTTTAATAATTACAACACACATTTTACGAAAAAAATTTAATTTTTATAAACTACCTTTTCTTGAAGAAGTTTGCCATTTTGCTGAAAACTATTATTACCAGGTTTTTCATCTTTGGCAAATGGAAAGACGGTGTAAAACACTTCAGGTTTACTTAAATCAAATTCAGGTTGCATGAAAATAGGAGGGCATTCATGTTTTTCAATAAATTTTTTTTCCATTGAAAAAGAATGCTGAAGTCTAAGTTTAGGAAAAATTTTTAATATTTCATTAGAATTCGATTGATTATTTTTATTTTCATTTATTTTTAAATGCCTTTGATGCCTCTAAAAACAAAATTACTTACATTATACACTTAAATATGAATTCTAATAAAATTTTTTATTTAAATCATTATTATTATTATTATTACTTACCTTTGAAATTTTTTTTATGTAGTTTTCAAAATGACTTAAATTTATTTCTGGCAAATATGGGTGTTTTGAAATTTCAGAAATTGTTTTTTCTGTAAAATCAACACCCCATAATTTGGTAAAAAAATCTTTTTGTTTTCCTCTATTTGGATCGTTTAAAACGGCAGCCAAATTTTGATTAGCCGAATACATTGTCCAATGTCCCTGATCGGAAGAATTGCTCTGTTGACTTGATGAAGATAATTTTCTTTCTACATTGTTTAAATCTAAAGAATCTTATTTAAATTACTATCATTGAACATAAATAAATAATGATAGTATTACTAAATAAAAAAAAATAGAGCTCACCAATTTTACTATTAAAAGTTTCTTGTGGAAATGCATGATGTTTATAAATGTGATTAACATAATCTGCATCAGACACTCCATCTACAGGTAATGAATTACATACTGAATTATAACCATAAAGACAAACAAATGATCCACCTTCTATAGAACAATGTTTATCCCTTAAATGCCTAAGATGACAAATACAAATATTTAAAAAAATCACACATAGTCACAAGACTTTCCATGAAATTTTTCAAAAAAAAAAAGTTAAATAAATTAACAAAAAAAAAAAAAAAAAAAAGAAAATTTACCCAGTAAAATCTTGAAAAGCTTTAAATCTTAAATTTTCACAATACAAACAGTGGTCCCAAGCACCTTTTACACTATCACGACGATTAAGATAATTGTCTATTTCCATAATTACTTTATTTAAAAAAAAAAGAAAATTATTTACACAAATTAAATACTATAAAATTTTTTATGTAAAACAAAAATTAAATAACGATTCATTTTAATAAAACTTTATTATTATTATTATTATTATTAATAAATGTTATACGTTAATTAAAAAAAAAAAAAAAAAAATTGTATGCTTTAACATACAATAGTGTCAGCTGTTGGAATCCATATTTAAATCACAGAATTATTATAACTGATAAATTACTCTATGATAAATAATTCATGCGATTACCTTGATTTATACGACGGCAAAATTAATTTATTCTTTTCTTTTTTCTTTTTTCTTAAATCAAATTATTAAACTCCGATAATGAATTCAAAATAAAAAAAAAACGTTTTATTTTAACTCCTTCACAAAAAAAAAAAAAACGTTTTTGAATTTTTATTACGATGACTCTTAAAATCATAAAGTAAATAAATGTTTTAATGTTTAACCGCCAAAAATTAATTTTTTTTCTCTTTTAAATCACTTACGGAATAACTATAATAATAATAATAATAATTTTTTTAATGAATGTATATGCACGAAAATGAAAATTAAAACAAAAATGTTTTTTTTTTTTAAATAAATAAATAAATTCGAAGGTTTTTAAAAAAAAAAAAAAGCTTATGTAATATTCTATTATTTGTATTTTAATTTTTTGAAGAAAAAAAACAATAAAAAACAATTTTTTTTTTTATTACTTAAGATAAATAACTTAAT